GTGGTGCTGGGGGATTGAACCGCGGTCCCTGTGCTTTGCTTAGCTTAGCTTGTTCTAAGTAGGTGCTTTAGACCACTGAGCCATCTCACCAGCCCCTATTTTTATTATTTTTATTTTTTATTTTATGGCGGAACTGGGGATTGAACTCTGGGCCTTGCGCTTGCCAGGGAAGCACTTATTCCACTGAGCCATCTCCCCGGCCCCCATTTATTATTATTATTTTTTCTTTTGCAGTACCTGGGATTGAACTCAGGACCCTGTGCTTGCCAGGCAAGTGCTTCTATTGGGCTATCTTCCCAGGCCCCAAAATGTAAGTTTTATTTTTGAGATATTTCTGTTGTTGTTTTTGGTGGAACTGGGGATTGAACTCAGGCCCTTGCGCTTGCAAGGGAGGCGCTTATTCCACTGAGCCATCTCCCTGGCTCTCCATTTATTATTTTTAATATCACATTTTTGTTATTTTTTTTTTAGCATGTGTTTGTATTAGTTTCCTTTTAAGACAGAGTGCATGTTTCAAATGAAGCGATGGATCAGGCAATCTTTGGAAGTCCCTTCCAGCTGCTATGATTTGCTATCCTGGAGACATTTAGTGAGTGAAATAGAAAGATAAGTTGCGGTACAGTGATAGGACCTAACTGTCGTGGGGTGAAGTGCTTCACTCCTGAAACCCCAGCCTCCCACAGAAGCATGGCTAAGAGATGCGCAGCTTGCGAGAGCGAGAGACTGTAAGATTATCTTGGGGTTATACTTAATAACATTCTATATAAGATTGAGAAGACATAAATCATCCCACCAAAGATAGAGAAGGCTCTCCAATGTCCCTCTGCCGTGCCACCCTGCCCTGGGGCCAGTCCACCACAAGCTAACGCTTCTACAAATTGTAAGCCAGACAAACCTTCCCTCCTTACAAATAAAGCAGAGGGTGTCACTGATGGAGATCACAAGTGGACTAGGCCACGCCAGGTCTGCACAGGCCCTGCCACCATTCGCGTGTAAGCACCTTGGCAAACCTCAGGACGGAACAAGGGCAAGCTCATAACCTAAGGAGGGTTTGCACTGACGGGAACAGAAACCAGAACGTCCAGATATCTTGGGCAGGTGCTAGTGACACAGGAAGGGCACTAACGTTTGCTCAGTATGTGTTTGGTCCCAGGAAGTCCAGCAGTGCAGTCAAGAACACAGATCGGGAATTAGATGTCTGAGTGGGAACACTGACTCCTTTCTGACTGCCACGCAAGCCAGCGCCTTAGATTTATCAAAATGGGGGCAGCGAGGCTGCTGTTTCAAGGGACTGTTACAGGAACTAAGTGAGTCCACACACAGCTTAGGACGGGCCTGAGCCTGCTGAGCAGTCCCCGCAGGTTTGTGAGTGTAAGGGTTGCCGTTACCAGGGCAGCAGGACCCTTCTCTTCCTCCTCCTTCTCCGGGAAAGCCCAACGGAAAGGAAAGAGTACTCACCTTCAATCTGGTCGGCGGAGAAGTCTATCTGCAAGGAGAGAAACAGGGGCGCGAAGGCTGAGGCTCCGGAGCTTCCAGGGCAAGTCCCGCGGCCGGCGGCGGGCCTCTGGGGGGAGGACAGCGCCGCAGAGCCAGCCCGCGGGCTCCTGCCTCGGCACGACGAGGTAAGGCGGCCTCCAAGGCTCCCCCGACTCCAGCCTCGGGCCAGGCTCCCCCGACTCCAGCCTCGGGCCAGGCTCCCC